CTTATTGACTTTGATGTTAAATTCATAGTAAGATAACATTAAAATATACAAACGACACTGTCAATATTTTTAAAAAAAGAAACAAAAAATTAATTTTACATAATAATTATAAAATTGAATTGCGCAATTTTTATTTGAACTGTATAATACGTCATAATTCTTAATTATATAACAGCTGCTCCCTTAAAAATGTATAATTATGGCTATGCTGCTTGACTAGTGATAATTGATAAATCGGCCCATAGTGAAAATAAAGCCGGAGACACACTATTATCACGTCACGTGAGCTCACGTCCTATTTCGTTAACTCACGTCACGTCACGTTACGTGGGTATAGTATGAAAATAGCCACACTAATATCACGCTATTACGTCACATCACTCAGTTGATGATTCAATATGGAGTGTGATAGTTGTGATAGTTCAACTAGTTCTTCCGATTGGGAAAACGACTTAGAAAATGCTGCTGCTTTCATAATTATAAGTGAACAAAGGAAAAAACGATCAAAATGGGTTCACAAAACTAACACAAAACGAGAAGAACTTGGTGAATTCAATCGATTAGTGCAAGAGTTAAGCGAAGACAGTAATGATTCCACATGTATTTTAGAATGTACAAAGAAGAATTTGAATATCTTCATGAACTTATTAAAGACGACATACATAAGCAAAATACACAGTTTAGAAAAGCAATCCCTTCACGAGAACGATTAGGAGTTTGTCTAAGGTACGCATTTAAATCTATAACAAAATAACACACAAATATATCCATTTTTTTTAATATTATTGAAAAAGATGTTAATTATATAGGTATTAAATTTAAAAAAAAATATTTTTATATTAATAATTAAGGATAATATTATAGTTCAAGGCTCATGTTTAACATTTCCTCAATTGTGGGCTTGTAGGGAAGTTGAGATTCTTCCGATGATATTGTAGAATACTGAGATGATGATGTAGCTGCTTCAGATTGATTTGGGGAAGGAATAGGTAGAGAAATCGTTGGGGCACTAGTATTTCTAATTTCTGCTTGTAAGACGGAGTTACTTAATAATAATTTAATTTTAGCCTGTTCTACTTGTGGCAATTGTTTCGTCATTTTAGACATACTTAGAAAAAATATATCAGTTTCGTCCATGTTTTCGAATACAGTAGGAACTTTCGGTTTTATGATCTTTTCTTCTCGTCTCATTTTTCTTATAGCTGCGTTTTCTTTCATTATCTCCAACATCTGAATTGTCGGATTATTATTGCTGTTAACTTTTTTATTTTTTTTAAGGTTATATAACTGTACTTCAGCTTTTTCGGGATGTTTTATTTGGCTAATTTCAGATGTATTGTTATTTTCAAATGATTGTATATTCTGAACCTGATGCCCTATTCCATCTACAATTCCCTCTTCTGCTAATATTTCTTCTGTTTCATCATTTGCATTTTGAGAATTATCTACATTTATACCCTGAATTTTATCATTTGAATCTATGTCTCCATTTATACAACGTTCTTCATTTACAATCAAACTATTCAAATTGCTTGTAGTCCTAAATAAATAATTATTAATTTAATTATACCAAAAAACTTTAAGAAAAATATGATTTTTTTTGTACATACTTTCTATTTTCTAAGTATGGTAAAATAAAAGACATTTGATGTTCATATTTCCATGGAGTCATTTTTTTTGCAGCCTGTCCACTTTTTTTATCGCGACGTCTACTCACTGCGTTGCAAAAACACCTTCTCAATTTATCCCATAAATCTTTTACCTTTTCCGCTAAGAATAACATAATTATATAAATATGGCCATTAAAGTTTTACTGCTTAATATTATTGAATATGTAAGTGAATGTATAATAAAATATGATATATCAACATTCAAACTTAACGTATGTTTTAAGTCGTAATTTAAACAATTTATATATTTATTTTATATTAGATATTTGGCAACTGGAAATTCCTTTCGAAGCATTGCATTCAACTATAGAATGGGATTTAGCACCGTCAGAGAAATAGTTATTGAAGTTTGTGATGCTATATGGACAAGATTAGGACCCATTGTAATGCCTCAACCCACAGAAAGTTTTTGGAAAGGTGTCGCAGAAAGGTATAATACGTTATGGAATTTTCCCAATTGCATCGGGGCGATCGACGGGAAGCATATTAATATTCAATGCCCAATTAATGCCGGGTCTACTTTTTATAATTATAAAGGTTGCCATTCAATAGTACTATTAGCACTTGTTGACGCTGACTATAAATTTACAGCAATTGATGTAGGTTCTTATGGGAGGAACAGCGATGGTGGAATTTTTTCAAAATCAACTATTGGACAAATGTTGGAAAATAAAACATTGAATGTGCCCGAAGACGTTCCTTTAGTTACGAATGGAGTACCACAGCCATACGTCATTCTCGGTGATGAAGCATTACCTCTCAAACGATATTTACTTCGTCCCTATAGTAGGTGCCATTTAGGAGAAAATGAACCAAACAAAATTTTCAATTACAGGCTATCTAGAGGTAGAAGAGTGGTGGAAAATGCGTTTGGAATACTGTCAGCACGTTGGAGATGTTTTCGAAAATCATTAGAGGTCCAACCAGAATTGGCTGAAAAAATCGTATTAGCAGCCTGTTGTCTCCATAATATGTTATGTACAGATAATATAGATCCTGATGTAGATATATCACCAAATGAAGAATTGGGCATGCACAATATAAGTGGTATAAGAAGAAATTGTACGCGGGAAGCTTTTGACATACGAGAAAATTTTAAAAACTATTTTAACTCCGCCGCTGGTAGTGTACCTTGGCAACTAAATTATGTTCGTAGGGGTCGGCTTCAAACTGATAATGACTAATAAAAGTTTTTTTTCCTTTTTAATAATTTAAATACTTAATTAATTTAATAATAAAATATTATATCATACTTTTGTATAATACATTTAAGAATACCTACTAAAATATAATTCATATTATTATTACACTACACAGTGTTATTATTTTGTAATATAATACATTTAAAAATTATACAACATTTTAAACCCTGTTATTAAATAATTTTATTTAAATTTATTAGGTATATGAATTATTATATGAAAAATATTTCTTGTGAACACTCACCGTTTTTTGAAAAACGGTGAGTTAATCAATAATCAACAGTTATAATGAAAATGTCGTCTTTGATAAATACGTACCAAAATACTTAATACCTAATACTTAGTACTTACTATAATTTATGGAATATATTTCATTATCTAATAATAATATACAGTCGTAAATAATATATATTTATAAATACATCTAAACATTACGTCCGAGATAAAAATGATGGCTTGGACAATAGACCTATTAACTTTAGGTCTGAGGTCCGGACTAACCGAGATAAAAATAGACATTTTACCCATGTTCGACTGTGAGATCACTGTCAAATACGTGTAATTTTTATTATAGTATACCATTTGTTATGCAAAATTCAATCATTCTTCAAAATTATTAAAGTATAAAATTTAACAAATTCAATTTATCATAAGTGTGTGTGTGTACCTGGCATTTGCAATTCCCTTCCGATTTCTTCCCAAGATTCTTGTCGGATATTTTGGTCCCTATAGCTAGTCAATTTACAATTATATAAAACTTCGTGAACTCTAACTTGTTCAATTAATTTTTCTTCCATGTTTAATAAAATAATTCATAAATACGTTGAGCTTGAAGCTTCAATTTCACCAAATCGAAATAAAATGTGATGTCACGTAATATTAAATATGTGAAACGATAGAAAAATAAAAACGTGATATCACGTGAGGTTCAACGAAAAATTTCAATATCACGTGCAGGGACGTAGCCAGGATTTTATTTCGGAGGGGGTCAAACCAAAAAAAATAAAAAAATTAAAGTAATAATAACTAATTTTAACCATTCTATTATTAATCAATCAAAAATTAAATTCGTAATGACTTACTAGTTACTATATTATGCTAGCTATGTTATGTACATATTGTAAAANTAAAGACTGCAATGTCATGTCTAATTTGTTTATTGATTCTGGTAGAGGACCTCCTCCAGTTTGTTTTAAATTTTGTTTATATGACGAAACATTTTTTTTTGGCAACTATTTTTATTCTTATACATTCGCCTTTAATTTGTAGTAATGTTCTTTGAGTTTTTGAATTACCATTATATTCTTTATAAATTTGTGACCAAGCTTCTGGTTTTGATTCGTATTTGGGTCACAATTTTTATTTTTAATCACTTTGATAAATGGTGTGACGATTTCAGTTAGTAGCTCTTTCTCTCCACTTTCCCAATTAACCCTTTTTTGTTTATCCATTTTAAAATAGAATCACGCAATTTAAATTATAATTTTAAATAAATAAATACCACTAATAAACTCAAAGATAGAACACGAAACTGCACTAAAATGTTAACTTCATGAGCAGAACAAGTGAAAACCATTATACTTATTATTAAAATAATATAATAATATAACCTAATATTTAAATTCTCATGTAGTTATGTCCTATTTGATATAATATATTTTGTATGAGCTATGAAGTATGTTTTTATGTTTACAATAGTATGTTTATATATCTGTGGTTAAAATAGCAACTACTCATTGCTATAGTAAGACTCATGGTGATCAGTGGTTAATACAACATCAAATGATATTAAGATAACAATAGAACTATGTTTATCTTAACAAATAAAATGATGTAATTATGATATTTCCAATATGTATTGCAACATGACAGCAGTTATAAACTAACTTTTATTTAAGATTAGTTTGAATATTGATTTTTGTTATCTTTACTTAAATTACTGATATTTTGTTAAAGTTTGTCTAGGTATTGAATTAACTGATGGTATTCTTAAAACTCTTTAACGTAATGTTAAAAACTATTAGACAAGCAGAAAAAATAACAGTTGCACACTATTATTCTGCATTTGGGGGATTTGAAACCTCTACCTACGGAATTCTTACGCCCTATCCTAACACCTAACACCATTAGTGAGATCGATGTTTAAGTGGGTGTATAACTGTCGCATAATATACATTTAAAAATATCTTAATTTGCTTTTTATGGAAAAATGCATAGTGCTTAACTTTATTTACATACTTTTAAAATAATTTTGTATATAATTAATGTTTTCATATATAACGTTGCTAATAGTAATATATTTTATTTCACGTGTTAATATGTTATTAAATACATACATACATTTATTTACTTAAACTTACCAAACATAATATTATAACTATTTAGCTATACAAATATTATAGTATAACAAAATAAATATAACAAGAATATTAATATAGTATTATTTAAAAGCTTTTTATGCACCTGAACTCAATCACGCATAAAGTTTACCATTGCCTAGAACTCTGGCAATGACTCTTGGCTTTGAATCAGGTAGCTCATACATATTATAACCAATCAGTTTTGAGTTTAAATTATTTTTTATTTCATAGGCACAAAAATGTTCATCAAAATCAACAGTCGACATTGGTTTTATTATAAAATAAGGAACTCTGGTTCATTGACCAACATTTTATAGATTTCCCCAAATAAACAGCCTCCAGCCAAGGTACAAATTATTTCCACCAGAGTGCGTTTTATTAATTTGTTTTGGATTGCTCACTGGCCGACGTGACTACTAGCGATTACTACGGTACTGTCCATTACTAACCAGTAACCACTCGCCCGCACCATGACCCAGGGATGGGAAGTTTCGTTCAGTTGGGTGAACTAGTTCGTTCGTTCATCGTTCACTAAACTGAACTAGTTCAAATGAACGATACATGGACACATGGTAAGATTAACGTATCGTTTTAAATCGTTCACTGAACGTTTTCATACTTACATGATACGTCTCGATAGTTGATAACCTTAAGAATTCATATTTTCGTTCATTCTTGTAAAGTTGTAACAGTGGTTTGAGCGATATGGGTAGGAATACAAATTAAAAATATATGTATATAATATATATATACACAAAATAATATTATTATGAGGACGTCGCACCCGCATGCGTCTTACCAACGTACAACATACTACATAGCAAATTTCCGTACAGCAGAATCCATTTAGTGTCATTAGCTTTAGTATTACAGTCAATTGACCTAAAATCAAACTTAAAGGTTAGAGTGTTATGTAGGACAACCCTTAGGATTTTATTAATATTATAATTGTTATGTTCATTTTAAAATTGGTAATATTTTACGTAGTTTCAACTCACTTTAAAATGAAAATTTCAAAAAAATCCTATCAGATGCTCTAAATAATCTTCTCACCTTAAAGTTTGAAAATAGGTAAATTGACTGTAATACTAAAGTTAACAACATTAAATGGATTCTGCTGTACGCTAATTTGCTATGTTATACGTTGGTACGACGGTGACAATACATGCGGGTGCGACGGCGACGTCCCCTTAATAATATTGGTTTTTGTAACCCAGGTAACAAACGTATATCCTCAGGTTAACCTGACTGCACGGTAAACATTTGCCAATCACGGATATCTATAACCGTGATAGTAACTTGTACCTATGCAATTAACAAGTTGAATGATATACCACAGACCACGAGTTATAGGTAACTACCTAGTTACTAGTTAGTACCTATGTACATTCGTAAATCATAATTCATATAATATTATAATCCTAACGGCTAACCCCAAAATGCGAAAGTGCCAAATCGTTTACTCGTTCCGTCGTGGCTTCATTTATTAATAATTCATTATAACATTATAGTTTAGGATAATTGACAGTTTAATTTTTATATGTTTTATTATTTTTTATTTATTATTGTTATTTATTTTTATCGTCGTTTAATGTGTTTGTGTGTTGTGTAGTCAATTGTGGTGTTAATGTGAATTTTACCTAAAAGATAAAAACAAAATATGTTACATTTTTTAAGTTTTAACTATTCAAATACTTGTAAGTATGAAGAAAATACAAAATAATATATATATACATTTTTTAAAAGTATTAAATATCAAAGATTTTGATTTAAAAAGAGCACTTTAGATGCTTTGCTTGGTTTAATCCTGTTTCTTTGTTCAGTTAATGTTATTCCAGCTTTACTAAACAGGTGTTCACACGGTACTGATGTAGCTGTAATACATAATCTTTTAAACATCAAATTATATAAACGAGGATATTGAGATTTTCTATTTTTCCACCAGATAATAGGGTTCTCATGTCTATTTAAAATTGGCTCATTCATATACTTATCCAATTCTATTATTCCAGCTGCCTGTGGGTTATGTGAAGCTCTGTTCTTGTTGTACTGTTCATCAAATGATTTCCACAACAGTGAACTACTAATACTAGGCTCATCAATTTGTTGAGGATTGTCATATTGTGTTTGTGTGTCTTCAATTTGAACAGAACACACTTTTTGTCTTAATTTGTTAAGAGCATTTGTATATTTTTGTTCACTAATATTTGTAAATGCCAACTTCTTATACCGTGGATCTAATAATGCAGCCTGTGTAACTAGATCATTATCCTCTAATGGTTTCAGACGAGAAGTTATCTACTGCTTTAAGGTTAATACCATAGTTCTTACATCAATCGGTAAGGTTATATCTTGTTCATACTTCTTCATAGACTCCAAAATGACACCAGTAAATATCAAGACAACTGACAGTGTGACATATTGATCACCACTGATTTCCTTTGTCACCTCATAACAAATTTCAAGTACTTCTGCAGCCTTCTCAACAATAACCCATTCTTCTGGAGTCAACATCTCAACGTTTGATTGAAGAACAGCCAATGTTGAGTTTATTGCGTCTTTCACTTTGACAAACCGTTGCAACATGTCATAAGTGGAGTTTCATATTGTGGCAACGTCTTGTATGAGTTTTAGCTGTGGCATATTCATCTGATTTTGAGTGGCATGTAATTTTGCCAATGCATGATGACTGCGCTTAAAGTATTCAACTATACTCTTAACTTTCAGGGTGACCGATGAAATATCCTTAAGATCATTTTGGACAGCCAGATTCAATGTGTGAGCAAAACATGAAACCTGACGATAATTTGTCTTTTGGATAGCATTTGTGACATTGGCTGCATTGTCACTGACAATTGCTGTCACTTTATGAGTAATGTTCCAATTGCTCACAATTGTCATAAGTTTTGCTCTTATATTGTCTCCTGTATGTCGTTCACTAAATTCTGTACAGTCAAGACAGAAGGATTTCAACTCTGTATTACCATCAAAAAAATGAGCAGTTGTGGCCATAAAACTTGTGTTCTTATTTGAAGTCCAACAATCTGTTGTAAGACACACTGCTACAGTTGAGTCTATTAAACATTGTACATTGTTTTTGCAACTTTCATAAAGTCTCGGTATTATGTTGTTAGAGACCGTCTTCCTGCTTGGCAATACATATGAAGGATTCAGCATATTATTCAAAAATATTTTGAACTCAGGGCTTCAACAAGAGCAAATGGATAATATCTAAAATAAAATATATTATTTATATATTTATCAAACATATCAGGTACACTAAAAGTATATTTTACCTCTTCACAATCATTTTAGCAAGTTGCTCATCAAACTGTTTTTTTTTTGTAACTGATAGAGGTCGAGATTGTTGAACGAAATCAGTCAGTCGTGTTTGTTTACGTGGACGATTAAGTGGCTGTTGAAAATTATCTGATACACTAGCAATTATTGGAGTCAAAACTGAACTGGTCTGTGCTACGTTAGGTGAACTAATAGATGCAGTTGAGGTACTTGGTTGTGGATTATCAGGTTCGTTAAGTGTATCTTAAATAATAATAAATTGATTATGAAAGTGACATTTAAGTAAAAACTTGAATATTTTTAAATACAATTATTAATAATAAGAATTACGAATAAAAACAAAGAAATTTAAGTACCTCTTTGATCAGATTCAGTTCTATTTATAGACACAGTTGGATGCCTTGCTGTCAAATGTCTTTTGAGATTATTTAAGCTTCCACCAGAAATACTCAATTGTACACTGCAGTAACCACATTTGGCTTTGTTACCATCTACCAGCTCAAAATGATTCCATATTTCCGATGTTCTTCCTCTGTAGTATGGCATTTCTACTTAAAATTATTAACTTTTGTGTAATAGATTATAGATTTATTTGAAACTATATAATTTGAACTTAGATTTTTTATTTTCAAACTAAATAAATGTTAATATATTTACATTTTACTCGCTAATGTAGGTTTATACGTAATATATAATTGTACATTTTTCAGAACATTGAGCCTGTTCTGTTCTGTTTTGTTAAAAAATAAAAACAAATCAATGAATATAATGTGCATCAAAAGTGTTAAAATTTAAATACGTTTGTTTATTTGAAACAATTATGAAATAACATTTGAAAATGTATAATATTTAAAGTATACATTTTTTATTATTTATAATTATAAATGTTGAAAATTGATATAATTTAAACTAGGTATCTACACAACTTTTTAAGATACCTACTATACTTAAGTAGTTTTAGTAATTATAGCCTACAAATATACAAAATTAACATTAATAGTATCCATATGATACATACATAGGTATAATTTAAAAAATATCATAAGACCATATTATATTATTACTCTCAAAATATTTAATCTGTGTAACATAGTTCATTATAGTTTCACTTGTGAACCATACAATAATAAATAAAAGCAATACATTTTTGACTAATTAAATAATGTAATTAAAATCAATAATATAATATAAAATATGAATATTAATCTATTAAAAATTCATCAGTTTTTTAATTTTTTTTGTATATCTATAGTATACACCTACATTGTAACAGTTCCACAGTCTTAAATCTAAATAAGATATTTCAGTTTGAAAGGTGCCTTTACTATTAAAAAAAAAGTATATTGTGGTGTTGTAAAATTAATCTTCTACTACTCTATTGATTTTTGAACCTTAATTGTAGAGCACTCTTGTAAAGTATTTGAGTAAATTTTTTTAAATAATTTTATAGTATTTAGAATACTTTCTAAATACTTTTTGAATTAAGTATTTGGAAAGTAATTTAATTAAATACTTTTATGCAAATACCTACTTTTCAAAATTAAACCAAATTATTAGTAAGTGTCACATATTTTTTTTTGAAAGATTTAATATTTTACTTATAATATTTTTGTTACTCATAAATGGTTCAAAAATTAACATTGCAATTTTAAATTAGTAAATATAAAACTAATTTTGGCCAACCGACTAGTAAAAACTAAAATTAAAAAAGTATTAAAATACATTTAAATACAAGTATTTGTATTTGTTTTTCTATACTTCTGAATGGATGTATTGGTGTCTGTTTTTAAATACAATTTAATAAGTATCTTTTACAAGACTGCTTATGAGTTTACTAGGTACCTAAAATAATATTTATCTATGTATACAGATAGGAAACAGGAAGTTCAAATGTGAAATTATGATATTTTAGAATAACAATAACTATATTGACATATTGTATTTACTTAAAATGGAAATGCAAATTTGAATGTTACAGATCCTTTTCAGTCTTGGGTAAGAATTTAATACAATCAGCACAGACAATCACTCAGACAGTAAAATAATGTTTTAAAGCAAAAACGTTGGAAGACCAAAATATTAAATTCAATTGAATGTGAGCAATAGTGCAATAGAGTTGTATTAACTATTAAAACACATGCCACATGGATCTTTCTGATACTATACTGTAGGAATATAAAATAAATAAACAAATAAACACTGATATTATGTAAAATATTCGTTTATTTTTTTGGAAATTCCAAGAATTAATATTTGTACAAAAAAAACATCATATTTTAGTATATAGTAGGCTTATGAGATTTGTATATATTAATAAACATTGTATATATAATGTATAATATGGTTTCATGATAATATTAAAACTGATAAGAGAAGTGACCGATGCCACGTTCGGCCTGGTGGTACAAGTACAACTGAGTACTGACCACTGTGGTAGAAATGGTATGTAGTCGTCGGTCAACAGCAGCTGCTGCTGGCTGTTCGTATTCGTTCATCGTTCGTTCATTAGTTCATTTTTCATTATCTCGTGTACGGCGCTGTACAGTGGTACCGGTTGAACGAAACGTTTCAATTGAACGATTTATTTTTCATTATCGTTCGGTCGTTCGTCGTTCGTTCATCAACCAATCGTTCAATGAACTAGGTCGTTCGTGAACGACACATCCCTACCATGACCGCGGGCACCGTATTATTATTATATTTGAGTAGATGTTATAGGTACCTACTACCTAAGTCTTACATGGCTACATACTACTTCAATGGTATAATTCTTTCAATCTCCGAGTTGGTGCCTGTTATGTTAACGTTATTAATTTACAGACACGCATTATCGAAGAATCATGTGTTAGCGACAAATCGTCGATTTGTTATACCTACACAGAAAATTATTGCGGCAAGTACAAAAAAATTGCTATACCCGTTTGCATATGGTGTGACTGCAGCAGGTATTTCATTTAACGTAATGGTTGAACTTGAGTTACCCAAGTTAAAAAAAAAAAACGAATTATGTTATTATTTTTATTATTCATTAGATGCGGTTATGTTGTATATTTATATCGGTTGAAGGTGTGCGCATCGTATTATATTCATAAAGGTTGAATAACGTATTAAGTAGGTACATACAATTAATCGTTATTCATACGAATCGCGATGGTTCTCAACGATTATCGGATTATTCCTGTAACTGTGCAATGACTAATAGGTATGTACATTTGAATTTGAATATTATTTATGACTCGCGCACAGCGTCGTGTTCATATTATTATTATTAATTACTGAAATGCACTTGAAAAGAGGTACTACTATATAGTTATAATGTTATACCTACCGCCGACGCGTAAAAACAACATTATAATATTATTATAATGGCTGATGAGGAATATATAACAACTTATGATCGTCCCATCAATAATGGGTTTTTTGGTTTTTTTTTTGTTTTTCGTGGAAACTTATTATTTATCATTGATTATGGTTTCGAACGTCAAAATCAGCACGGCAAAACTTGGGAATGGCACAAATTAATAAATTGTCACTATTTTTTTTTAACAGAGACAACACGCGGGATTCGGGTCGGAGACTTGGATTACCACACATGGTGAGAACACAATTATAATGATATGTTTTATTATCATTTCGCGCCTTCTCAGACCCCGTCGGTAAATATTAACCATCTACATTGTTGGTTGTCTGCCTTTTTATACACATATTATAATACCTTCCATATTATATTATTATATCGTCGTTACTGTCATGGATGTTTGCAATATCGAACAATACAAAGTCTAATGATATGAGTCAATTTAGAAGTCATTATCATCTCAATAGGATCCTGATTCTATGTGTAATAAATAATAATAATATAACACAAATACATATTATATGGTACATCATAAAATGAAATTTTTTGATTGCCATGCGTGCATTCGACGATGATGTTCTGCAGACGGTAAATTATATACCTATATATTATTATTAATATACAGAAATATACATTATATGCGAAATGCAATTCAACACTGGATTTGTAGGACATTATTATATCCAAGTATCTATCACTTACGCACACGCCACGTGTATGCTTGGAAATTATTTTTATTAAAATAATTAGTCTTGCTGGGTCACAATGCTCACAGTATCGGTTTAGCATAAAGGTATTATCAGTACTAATACCAGTACTAGTACAGTATATCAATATTGGTTTCCAGATTTTTGGAAACAGAAAATTTCGTTAGGGTTAGACTGATTGGAATCCACAAGCGAATGTGACGCGAGGAGAATTTGATATAGGCAACGATTGATTCCATTCGTTAGTGTCATTTATAAAGATTAATTTTTTTAATTTTGTAGAACAATAGATCCATCTGGTATCGACAAATACCAACTTCGACCAGTGTCTGGCCGTCGTGTTCTTCGTGTCCAGCAGTTGTTGATGTACGTAAGATTCGTCATTGTAAATAACATGTCTATTAAAGTCAATAAAATGTTCCATTTTAATTTAATAAAAAATAATTATGTATAAATAATTTAATAAAATAATAAAATAGTTTAAGCACACTCCACTTTTACGAGCCAAACCGAAAATCATAGGTCTACTAGTTATGATATGTGTAAAGTGTAGGCTGTAGAGTGTATTGTTGATGTTTATAATTATATGGTTATACCGGCAATATTAGTCTCCGTACAAAGTAAATACCACCCGAAAGATAGATAGCATATAACGCGATCAAAGTACAGGTAGCATACGACGCGAGTGCCTAATATTTTGCTATTGTTCGTTTGGATAATATTATATGAATTAATTTTCCCTCTATATTGATAGAATTGAGTCAGTCCGTGAGTTCCACGGGTTTAGTTAAAAATAACTTATTTTTGTGATTAAGCATCACCTATTATAAAAATGTTAATTAAAATTTTTTTTTGCTAACCATTTATAAAGGAGGCCAAATTACAATGGTATTGAATTTTAAATATAGAAATGGATACTTTGCAAGGTCCAAATGATGCCACGTGTTAATATTGTTTGATTTTTTGTATAGTTCTGTGATTACATTTATTTTTCCAAATGTATTATTCGTATTTTCCATTCTAATAACCTGCATTTTAGAAAATTATAAAAGTATATCATAAGTAGTTACTAATGGACCTAAAATCATCAGACTAATCACTTAAAAACTTAATTATGAGCACTTAAAAATTTGAAAAAAACATCTTTCCCCTCAAAATCTTCTTTACTCCCCTAAAATGTAATTTAAGATATTGTGTTACTTATTAACACTGCACCAGCAAATAACTTATTTTTTCCCATTATAAATTAATACTCGAACACGAAGAACAGTGATACTGAGAATCGATTAATCATACGTTATCGTTTTGATAACACTGATTTAAAACCATTGGTATCAATTATTTACTATACTTTATTTTTCCTGCAGCATTATTATTATTGAAACCTTGGATATTTCATAAAGACTTTAATGATTTTGAAGAATGTCAATGAGTTTTTCGGAATCCACTTTTTAAAAATTCAAAATATATAAAAAAATTAAAGACTGAAACAAATTCTGAATGGGCAATAACTTTCAGATGGGAATCATTCGTAAACTGTTGTTCACTCTCGTAATTCAAACTTATAAGGACCTGTCGCTTCTGTACACTCCTGATGTAATTTGTATACAAAAGTATTTAAAATCAACTTGCAACTAGGAGGGTTGTAGGTGGTAATTAGCACCCCAAGTTTAAAATCAACACTTAAATAAAAATTTAACACTTTACCAATAAGGTTTTATTATCATACCATGAGAAAAAGGTGCCGGAAAAATGAATGAATGCAAAAATCATCATTTTGTTTTGTTTTACTTGGAATGAAGGTCGTACGAATTTCGTTAATTGACAACGAATTCTATATCAAATTATTAGAAATTAACACCTTCGGATGACGGATAGTCAGATCCATTCGAGAGATGCTGGAGTAAAAAACAACCTAGATATTGACCCGGAACTGTTCATCGTTCACACTGGTCAGGATATGTCCGATCTGGGTAAGACCCGTCCGGAAACCCTGATAGATCATTTTTGGGAACAATATTTTTTCGACCTGGATGCCTGTTCCATACCTGGCCCGGATAATTGTGAATGTTCGCATTAAAAATGCATTGGATAGAATTGTTTTCGTACCCGGACGGATTCCAGCCCGGATCAGTGGGAATGGTCCTTAATAAAGATTGTGGCAACCAACCTGTATGACAACTAGCCCCAATTTCCCCTATGTATGTAATATTACTTGTACCGGAATCGCTCAGTACCAACTGATTTTTCCGTTATTGGGAGACTTAAATATACCCCAGTGTGTAATAACGAATAGATATGTGTTCGAAAGTCGTGTGAATGAAAATTATTTATTTAAATTAAAATAACTATCTAATATTTTAGAAATAATATTAAAAATATTTGTAAAAATGTGTGCAGTATATCCGTCACCTAGCCAACATTTAGATTTCCTGGAGATATTTACAATTTTATTTTGTTCTAAACAATAAAACAGATACTGTTGAATCCTCGTGTATGAAAGATCTTATCACATGGTTGAACAGGGACCTCACATTCTTCAGGTAGTTTATATTTATTGTTTTCGTCTGACCCAAGAATTCCCTTCTGAAAAATAAAACAAAGTCGTCATTAACAATTGAAATAGGTTTTTGGAAAATCGTCTCCGTGGCACTTATTTTGCAATGTAATCTGAGTCCGGTACCTACCATCTTGTTAGTTGATGCGCACCTATACAACTGTGGTTACCCGCAAACCATTTTTCACCATCATTGAAACCATTTTATATTTCTATTAAATGAGTTCTAATAAAAAATTTTACCAATGTTAATAAACTATAAAATTGTTATCCAAGCGATGATGGGTGCGCGGGCGGTGACAGCCACGATTAAAGGTAGTATGGTTGCCTGTCGAATTGTGATAAGAAAGCCAATACGGTGAATCTCACTTTTTTACTATTGCAGCGTTCCATGTGAGAAAAATAGTGTTGTAACTCGTAACTCGTGCCACTGTTTAAATCATAGACAAAATGGTATTGGTATAATGATTACCTATATTGACCTATATGGTTAAATGATACAAGTTTTTGTAAATAGTGGAACTAATAGTGGAGCCTTCTCTTTTCTACCAAGAGCTCTTAGGTTAGCCAATTTAATCTCCCAACTTTTTTTCTTTTTTTTTTTAAAAAAATCGCAAATGACCGGTATTCCCCCTACCCTGGGGTAATACCAGTCATACAAAATCCCCATATAAACACATAGGTAATTCAACATTTATTATTAAAACATTACATTTTACATCAAATCAGTATTTTTAAGTAACACATTGTTCTTATGTACCTACCATTGAGAAAGTAATAACAATGTATACATACTAAATTAATTATCTAGCCTTAATAATAGGATCTATCAAATAGTATCGCTTTATATTTTTTTAAATAAAGACTAAAGTAATAACAATTCATAACAAAATAAATGTACAGTCTTTTAAATTTCAAAATACAGAACACTTTAATATACTTAGAAAAAAAAACAACATTAAATTAGAATTAATTATCCATTCTTAATCATATCAGTTCATATTTTTAAAAATAAAGTAATAACAATTCATAACAAAATAAATGTACAGTCTTTTAAATTTCAAAATACAGAACCCTTTAATATACTTAGAAAAAAAAACAATATTAAATAAGGACTAATTATCCATTCTTAATCATATCAGTTCATATTCTTAAAAATAAAGTAATAACAATTCATAACAAAATAAATGTAGTCTTTTAAATTTCATAATATAGGACCCTTTAACTTTAGGTAAACAACTTGTTTTACCTACTAGTATTTAAAAATAATAATATATAAATACCTAATATACTTAGAAAAAAAAATATTTAATTAGGAAGTGCTTATTTTTTGGCTATTTCTTTTTTTCTGATCATCCTCATGCAGATGTCACAAATATAGTCAACTGCAGTATCAGCTCCACTACATTCTGAATGTACCCAGAAACCACATTGTGTGCACCTGTACCACAATTCATCTTTTCCACTCTCTTCGCATATTAAGCAAACCTCCTCGCCATCATTAATATTATCATCACTGTTGTCATCAACTATTTCTATCATATCAACATCACTATCTGAACTAGAACCGTCGTCCTCAAATAATTTTCGTTTTGTTAATTTCTTCTTATTAGATTCTAAACAAAGTTAAATAATATAATAGTTGGTAAAATTACATTTTAATAAAATAATTTGTATGAAAATAAATCATAAAATATTTACTCACTCTTTGGTTTAGGCTTTTGTTCTTTTTTTGGGGGGGGAGCGGCAGGTTTTTCTTTCTTTATTTTCGTTTTTCTTTTATTTTCTTTTAATTCGAGTATCGTTTTCATTGGCGTAGATGTTATAACAGTGGAGTGCTGTTTTGCAGATCTTCGGCGAACCACTTTTGGAGATGGTTTTTTTGGAATTGGCGTAATTGATTTAAAGGCAACACGATATTCCGATGATGTAGATGTAGAAGGCACAGAGTTATTTATAATGTTATTTGTAGAATTTGATGGTTCTTCAGAAGTAGAATTCATTTCAATAACAACTGGAGAAATGGTGTTGGTATCGTCAGTAGCAAATGTATTTGCTGCGAAAAAATCCTCTTCAGTAAAAACATTTGGGTTCATTGGGTATATTCCTGTCGAACTAAACCCAGATACACCTTTTTGTATTGTTGCCACTATAGAATATGCTTTATTAAACAGTTCAGCCAAATCATACGGGGTTATTTTTATTAGTGAATTTGACTTCATAAATAAATCACATTCTCTTTTAAATGCCTGCTTTAGTGGTCCAAAAAATGTGACATCAAGTGGTTGCATTCGATGTGAGGTATGTGGTGGCAATGACAACATTATTATATTATTTTTTTTACAAAAATCATAAGCAGGCAAATTAATATGGCTTCCGTGGTTGTCCAATATAAGGAGAACGGGTTCCGCCGTTGATGGTTTCGTATAACTGACAAAATGCTGTAACCAAACAAGGAAAATATCCTCATTGGACCACCCGTTTTTGGTACACTGATATACTGCACCTGGAGGACCATTTCTTTGTAATTGATGACACATTCTCTTTTTTGGGAAAATAAATACAGGAGGAACAAATGTACCTGACGCACTCATGGAACAAATAACAGTTACGTTTTTCCCTCTTTCCCAGCTAGTGACAGAACCTACACGTTTTTGGCCTTTCGGTGCTATTATTTTTCCTGGGTCTTGTACGGTGGAAATTCCGGTTTCGTCCATATTAAAAATGTTCGAAGGAATAAATGAATACTTTTCCATTAACATCTCAAGGTTTTCAAAAAAAAGTGAAACTTCAGTTTTGTTAAAAGCTGTTATACGACCAATACTTGTTGCTTCAGGTTTTCTAATGGTTATTGATGGGTTACGTCTAATAAAATTATAAAACCAATCTATTCCCGCAAGTTTAAGACTACGATTAAAATTGTGTTGAAGTTTGTTTTCTTCTTCAAACGCAAAAGCAGCACTTCTTAACTGCAAAGGTGTGATTCCATAAAATAGTTTGGCTAAATCTTTTATATGTTCAGTCATATCATTTTCGAAATCAATACAAAATACAGGTTTACGCCCAAGATTTAAAATTTGGGTTTTGCCCTTTTTAATCCTTTCTTGGAGTGTGCTGAACGGAATACCATAGGCTTTTGAGGCTTTCCTAATGCTCATTTCCTTATTGGAAATTGCACTCATAGCATTTAATAAATTTTCATGGGACCAATCACCTCGATTTGTAATTCTAACGTACTTACGCGGCATCTAAGTAAAAATATACTTAATTAATTAGTGATAATATACATTTTTAGGTAGGGAACTATATTTTAAAAAAATTAATAAATTTATAACGATATATTATTTTCAATTTGTTAATTAATATTGCATTTTAATTGTGTATTAAAATATAAATGGGGGTAATACCGGTCGGGATGTATAATATGATAATTGACCGGTATTACCCCACACACTTTGACTGGTATTACCCCTTTCGCATATGTTTTACATAAATGACTAAAACATTAATATGATGATAAATAGGACTAGTTTAAGTATAAGAACATATTCTGTACGTATTAAGGATTATATTCTACTAAAACAAAGTAAAGAAAAGA